AATGAATAGAGTGTCTAAGAATGCTAGTGAGTTTATATTAAGGAAAGCTGCGGATTATGAATATGTTTTAAACCGTGTTGTCTGCAAAAATGAGAGATTGAAAGGTAATTTAGAGATGTATAAAACTCAGGATATGAGGGTAATGGGTAAGAATACTATTGATGGTTGTACGGGAGCGAAACCGATGAAGGATAGTGTGACATCTGCGAGGAAGAATGTTAGCTATGCGGTGGTGGTTAAGAGTGGGTGTACGGATGTTAAGATGACTAGTGATCAAATAAAGGAGCGGGTTCTGCAGCGCGTTAAGCCGAACCTCAATATAAGGGTCAGGGCAGTGCGTAAAACAAGAAATGATGGAATTGCTATTGAGACTGTGAGTGAAGAGGAAAGAGGCATGCTTAAGGAGTGTAAGGCGTTCCAGGATGCTGGGCTAAGGGTTGAGCTACCGAGAAGAGTTGGCCCGAAGCTGATTGTTTACGATGTCCCCAATGAAATGACGGAGAATTTGTTTATGAATGAGATGTATGAAAGGAACTTAAAGGATGTTGTGAGTGAAAATGTGTTCAGAGAGAGAGTGAGGATTGTTAGTAGAAATGGTAAGAGAGGAGACCGATTTGGGAATGTAATAGTAGAAGTTAATGTGAAGATTCATGATGCATTGGTAAATGGTGGTAGAATATATGTGTGTTGGGATGCGTTCAGATTGCGATCCTTTATGAGTATTCCTAGATGTTTTGCTTGTTATGGATATGGACATATGATTAGGGAATGTAAAAGTGGAAAGTTATGCAGAAAATGTGGTGAAAAGGACCATGTCATGAGGGATTGTGGGAATCAGGAATGTTGTGTGAATTGCAGAATGAAACGGTTGCCCTCGGACCACTCGATTTTGTCTGTGCAGTGCCCTGAGTATCTGCGTGCGGTGGAGAGATCGAAGATGAGAATTAGCAATGACTGATAGTAGGCTAAAAATTGTGCAGTTGAATTGTCAAGGTGCTTATAGGGCTATATGTGATCTGGGGGTTACTATGTGTGATGAAATGGTGAGCTTGGCTCTCTTGCAGGAGCCTTATGTTGATGGTGGTGTGGTTCGAGGGCTGCCTAGCAGCATGCGTGTTATAACGGCGAGACCCAGTGCTAAGGCAGCGGTAGTAGTGAACGATAATAGGCTAGAAATTATGGCTGTAGAAGACTGTATTGAAGAGCACGGAGTGTGTGTGTGGGTGAAGGGTGCGTGTGGTGTGTTCTATGTGTGTAGTATATACTGTCAATTTAGTCTGGATATTGAGCCGATGTTGGAGTATATGGATAGAGTATTGGGGGTGGTAGGTCGTGACCCTATCTTGATGGGAATGGATGCAAATGCGGTATCGCCCCTGTGGTACAGTAAGTACGTGCATGAGTATCGTAGGGCTGAGAAACGTGGTGAATTGTTGGAGGAGTATGTAATGGGTAATAACTTGCACGTGCTGAACATTCCGAGTGATGGTTACACGTTCAGTGGACCTATGGGTCAGAGCGATATTGACGTTACACTCGCGAATGAGGCATGGATGACATGTACTAGTAAATGGGAGATAATGGATGATTGGAGTATCAGCGATCATAATGCGATATTAATATGTTATGAATGGAAGTTGGATGATCATGATGGGCTTGCGTTTGGACGGAGTTGGAGACGAAAAAGAATGGATTTATCTATCTATGCGGATATGGTGCAGGTGCAAGCTGGTGGGACACAATTGACAGATTTTGCTGATTTGCTCTTGAAGGATAAAATCCGGGTAATGAATGAATGGATGGCGGAGGTAAATGATTCCTATCTGGGTAAACCGGGTTTGATGACTATAGGGAAAGTGAAGTGGTGGACTGATGAACTGATGGGGATACGCAAAAGGGTGAGATGTTTAAGACGGAAATGGCAAAGAATGAGGAAACACTCGGATAATAAGGAGGACAAGTACTTGAAGGAGTTTCAGTGTGAGCTACGTAAGTATAAAGCCAGGATTAAAGATGTGAAGGATGCTCACTGGAGGAAATTTGTGAGTGATAAGGGGAATCAGGATCCATGGGGTGATGTATACAAGATATGTAGGGGTAGGAGGAACAGGGGTGTGGTGAGTGCTGTTATGGATGATGGGAGGATGACTGTAGGGTGGCAGGATACGATGAATGTGATGCTTAGTGAGTTCTTTCCTGAAGATGAGAGTGGAGTGGAAGGGGATCGGGAGGAATTTTGCTCGGTGACTAGGGAGTTTGAATGGGAGGAAATTACGAATGCCGTGAAGGGAATGAGGATTGGGAAATCTCCGGGACTTGATGGAGTGACAGCAGAAATGATGATTGGTGTGTGGAGAGCAATACCACTCTTTGTTAAGAATATACTCGATGAGTGCCTAAGAGTAGGATGTTTCCCAGAAGAGTGGAAGATGGGTAGAGTTGTTATTATACTTAAATCCCCCGATAAGATCAGAACTGATGTAAGGTCTTACAGACCGATCTGCCTGCTGTCGACTATGGGCAAGGTGCTTGAGAGGCTCTTGGTGGTTCGGTTGTTGGCCAAGTTAACGGCGAGTGTTGGAGTAAGCGATCGACAATATGGTTTCAGAGCTGGACGTTGTACGGAGGATGCATGGATGGAAGCTAAGAGATCTGTCATGGAGTCGTCTAAGAAATATGTGCTTGGTATCTTTGTTGATTTTCAGGGAGCTTTTGATAATTTGGAGTGGAGACATGTTATATCGAAATTGAGGCAAATTGGGTGTGAGGAGATAAATCTATGGAAAAGTTATTTTGACGAAAGGAAAGTGTGTGTAACTAGTGCAGATGATATAATATGGAGAAGAGTGACTAAGGGGTGCCCGCAGGGCTCGGTATGTGGTCCGGTAATATGGAACATGATGGTTGACGACCTGTTAAATAAGCTAGTGAGTGACGGATGTATGGTGGTAGCATATGCGGACGATCTGCTGTTGATTGTGGAAGGAATGAGTCGTAGTGACATTGAGAGATTGGGAACTAGATGGATGGGAATTGTCACTGATTGGGGTAGGAGTGTTGGTGTTCCGGTGTCAGAAAGGAAGACAGTCTCCATGCTGCTGAAAGGAGGATTAGCAGTTAACAGATGTCCTAATATTAGGGTTAACGGCCGTATGTTGCGATATGTGAGGGAGGTGACATATTTGGGTGTGAAAATGGGAGAAAGAATGAATTTTAGGATACACATTGAAAGTTTAAAAGGGAAATTGATGAATACTGTAGCTGCTTTTAAACGAGTGTTGAGGAAGGATTGGGGCTTGGGTAGGACAGCCTTTAGGATAATTTATAAGGGATTGTTGATGGCATGCGTGATGTACGGTGCTAGTGTATGGAGTGACGTTATGAAGTATGGTTATGGTAGGCAAGCCATGAATAGATGCGAGAGAGTGGCTCTTTATGCTGGTTTGAGGGTCTGCAGAACAGTGTCGACGGAGGCAATGCAGGTGTTAATGGGGGAATTGCCTTGGGCATTCGTGGCAGTTAAACGAGCATGCATGTACAAAATAAGTAGAGGGTTGCAGCTGAACGAGGATGAACCCATTGTGAATGAATTTCTGCACGGTAAAAGCATGCGAGAGATAGAGAGTGAAATTGTAAGAGTACTTTTCGACAGATGGCAACAGGTTTGGGAAACTACTGGGAAAGATAGGGTTACTCATGTGTGGATTAAGGATGTTAGGATGGTGAGGGGATGGGATTGGTTTGATCCTGGATTGGCACTGGGTTACCTGCTAACGGGTCATGGGAGCTTAAATGAATTCCTGTTCAGGCGTATGTTGGCGTCACGAGCTGAGTGTGAATGTGGAATGATTGAAGATTGGGTGCATGTGCTGAGTAAGTGTGCTTGGTATGAGGATATACGAGATTTGGATGCTATGGGTGTGATAATGTGTGAGAATGGAAATGTGAATGTGGAAAATGTACTTAATGATAAGATAAAGTATACATTGGTGAATGATTTTGCGAGAAGAGTGTTTGAGAGGAGGAAGCGTTTGTGTGGAGGATGTTAGTATGTCCAGGTGTCTCGTAGCGCAGGGGGGATACCGCAGGTCAAAGACATGCGTGTTGATTCCTGTATGG